AAAAATATTTTTTGTGTTCCTATATTGAGATAGATGCATCTTATGCATTGAATATTGCTACAACTTTTATGGGGTAGCCTCAGTAAGCAGCTATTTCCTGGAGAGTGTCTGGGGGTGTCAGATTGTTATGGAATGTTGACTTTGAKCCTAGCTGGCCTCTATTGTATAGTYTCCTCTTGCTTCTTTGTCTGTGATTAATGACTTTAGGCACAGTACATACTGTGGTGGAGTCAGAGATCCACTGTCTCTGTGGGTCATGCAAGCACAGGGGCCACTCTGGGAGTTCGGGCAGGTGTGGAGTAGCCATCAATGGGTGCAGGAAGCTCATTGTCCACCTCCTCCTACAGTGTGAGTGGTGGCCCCTGTGAGAGAACAGGACCTTCCTGGGGCACTGTTGATGCTAGCTCTACTATTAGCAAGAGCCTCTGGCATGGCATGCTTCAACCAGTCAATGATGTGGGCCAGGTGTTACATGGGGAGAGRCAGTGGCAGGGACTGCATCACCCTCCCCACTGCTGCTCACATCCAGCAGTGACAGCAGTGCATGCTCTGACGTGGTGCAGGGGCTGCGAGGTGGTGGGAACTGTGAATGAGGTGGCAGCAGGAACCTTGGTGTTCTTCTCTACCACTTTGGTAACAGTGCCTACTTGGTAGCAGGACCCCAGCTATGGTCAGCAAATTTTCTTTTGGGGGCTCTCTTTGGCCACGTGTGCCAGAAGCAAGGTAACAGCGACAGGGCAGCAGTTAAGACCACAGTGTTYCCTCCCACTGTCTTTAAGAGGCCCCTGAGCATAGTGCAGTGGGGAGGGGCTTGGGAACCTCATGAAAAACTGCTTCCAGTCCTGGCACTGATGTGAGTCCACACGTGGCTGGCCATGCACTTGGTGTCACGTGGCAAGTGTCCTAATCTCCTGGTTCTCAAGGGCAGTACCTTCTGTTCTTCTCTCAACTAAGCTTGGGTCACAGTGAATCATAAGGGCCAAGCTCGGTTTGCAAAGCAGCTGCCTCCCAAGCCAATGCAGTGAAAAGTCTGTGGGGGTCCCAGAGATGGGACTATGCAGCAGTTTCTGACCTCTAGAGTAGTTAAAATTTAGATGGTATCTCCCCTCTCCAGATGGTTCCTGGCTACAGCTCTACAGATGTTTGCAGGCAGCCGATGTGAGATCCTTTTCCAAAGCAAGGTTACTGCGCAGATTTCGAGTTAGTTTCTAAGACCGCTGCAAGCTGGTGAGGATTGTGAAATTTCCCAGTAGCTCCGATGGCCAGCATCTGCACTGATCTGCACTGCTAGAAGTTGCTGGGGCTCTCTCTTTCACCCTTACTCTTGCAGAAGGGAGACTCCTCCTCCCTCACCTATGAATCAGTGTAGTAAACATTAGTATTTTGTTTCTCTTATTACACTATTGTCCCAGGTTTTGTAATCTTACAGGGTGCTAGTGTTTCTCTTGCTGATTCCCAGTGTTCTGGCATGGTCACTAATCTCAAAACATTGCTACACACCTGTTATTTTGGTTCTTCTTTGTGGAGGAGGTGATATGTGCTGGGCATTCCTATTCAGCCATCTAGAATCCTCTTGAAGACTTTTTTAAACTCTGAAAAGAATATGTCGTGTATGATGCCTTTAAATAACAAAGCTAGAATTCACTACAATAAATACAACTTTATTGTAAGTTTTTCAAGAAAAGAGAGGCCGGTAGGTAATTCCTATTAGTTCCTATTATTCCTGAATTGGCAGGGTTCAGGCTCAGGGAACCAAGGAGGCTTGATAAAGTTTCCAGAGTGYGTCAATCATCAGGCTCAGAACAAAATAAATTATAGCCACTGTTTAAACAGACATGCCAGCATTCAGGTTTATGTGACACTCTTCAGTAACCTAAGGACTATAGATGGTGAGTGACAAYGTTGCTAAACTGACACAAGTCACCTCAATTCTATGAAAAAGTTTATTTTTTTACTATATTYTAATATTTCTGAAATATGGAGATACATCTCCTTATTTATGTATTTATTTAATGTAGTTTTCTTTCTTTTTTAAAAGTTCCCATAAAAACTGTTTTTAAATCAGTGGCTCATTTTACCATAATGGCACCTAAGTATTAAGAAATCTGAGTAATCTCAGTTCTCAGGAGCTGAGAAGCCCATCCCACTTAGAATGAGTGCAATGCTGAGTGCAATTCTTCTCCCTTGGGGTTTGAGGAGCCCCAAGCACTGTGTGACAGGTAGAGCCCAGGCGTACCTTAGGTTCACCTGCTTGGGTGGCAGTAACATTGGCAGTGTGCCCTGGAGTTTGTCCTACCTGCTTTGTGACAGTCCAATTTCCTGTTGTTTCTGGATCCAGGGAGTCCTTAAGGTAGGTGAGGAAGATGTGCCTGTTGGCAGCTCCCAGAGCACCTCTCTGGCTGCCACTGTGCTGCTCTGCTCTGTGCCATCAGCGCCCACTCACTGATGCTGCCTCCACCAGTCTGCTCCAGCATCCCCAAGGGCCCTKTCCACACCTCTGCATCCTTCATTGGCCTGTGAGAACTCATTACAGCCCAGGGATTCTCACCTGCCTGAGCTCTGAAGTTGCTGGGTTAACATCCTCACTATTTGTGCTTTTTTTTTTTTTTTGAGAAAGGAATAAAAATGCTTTAATTAAAAAATCACAAGTGGATGATAAAGAACATAGAAACTGAAAATTTACAAAATGCGTCATGGATCATGGACAGTGCTGAACAGCAGAAAGGAATGATGGATGAATCTGCATTGTTCTGGTTGCTCCTCCTGCCACCTGTCTCCAAGGAAAGCCTGACGTTGATTAGATACTGAGCCAGGCTAATGCTGGCAGCAGATCCAGTGATGGTAGCCTGCCTATCAGTAGATCCTTCCACTGGGTTTACAATTTCAATCTGCGCCCCAGACATTTGATGGATCTCATTGATTTTGGCGCCTTGATGCCCAATTATGCAGCCAATCAGGTCATTTGGAATGGTGAGTTCCTGAGAAATAGTCTGAGCAGATGCATTCAAACCTGCACTGAATCCAGTATTGCCATGTGTCATAAGAAAATGAGACTGATGCAACTTGGTCAAATCTGGCTGTGGAGTGGCCTACTGTCCTTGAATGGCATAGGCCTCTAGAGATGGTCCCTCTAGGTCAGGGTTTAGGCACATGAATGGGGTGGTTTGGGGAAAGCTCGCACTGTCRTGCCTGTGTCCTGACCACTTGCAAAGATGATTGGAGACCTTGATGGCTTGGGTCTATACGGGATGGTCACACCCTCCCAGGGGAACCCCAACATGACCACGTGGATATGTCTGACCTACTCAGTGATGATTGGGGAGTGATGGCCTACTCAGTTGAATGGGGGAGAATTTCCCCTGCTACTTGGACTTGAGCACCTGTCCGCTCTATATTTCTTAATCTTGCAACCATCTTTTCCAATGAGAAAGTCACACTGACTAGCAGGCACCACCAGCCTCAGAGTGACCAGGGGTCTAYTGGCAGCTGTGCTATTGGTCATACAGCTGTCCTCTTCCAGTTTGTCAATGATCATAGCAAAGGCTTTGAAGATGGTATTAGMGGGCCCAGTCAAAGTGATAATTCCCTCAGGACAATTCCCTTCTGAGATGTCAATACATGCACCACTTTTATACATACTGCCATACTATTGTCTGTTGTATTCTGCTGTCTTTCCTATCCTCTACTATCCCTCCTCCCCTCCCCTCCCCTCCCATCTTCTCTCTCTATGCCATCTACTGTACTTCATTTCTCTCCCTTGTTTCCCCCCGCCTTTTCCTTCACCTCCTCTTATACGTAATTTTGTATAACGATGCAATCTGTATACGGGGGGAAAAATGGGAGTTCATAATCCACTTGAATCAAATGTGTGAAATATGATATGTCAAGAGCTATGTAATGTAAAAAAAAAAAAAATACATGCACCACTCTCCTCCCRCATCTTCTTAACTGATCCTCCTTTCTTTCCAAGGATACTGCCAACTTTCTTTCCATGCATAAGTAGCTGGATGACACACGGAAGAGTGACATTTAGTTCAATTACATCAGTGTCCATGACGAGCAATGTTATGGGGAGCTGTATTTTGAGTGTTCCAGTCTTTGGTCAGTGGTGGGGGTGAAAGTCAAAAACTGCAGGCACTACACGATGAAGGGGGAAAGGGGGAGCAGGTGGGAAGAGAAAGGCAGGGAGGTTGGAACCGAACAGGGGGGCAGGCCAGAGGGTAAGTGCTTTCCCACCYCCTGAGGTCAGAGTGCAGAGGGGAAAGGGGGTGAGGAAGTGGAGGAGAAAGAGAAAGGGGAAAAGCAACCCGGAGCAGGTAGAGGGAGGCTGGGCGAGAGGGGGTACAGCTGCAGCTGCTGCCTCTGCTGGCCTCCCCTCACCACTTGCTCTTGATCACTAGTTCATCTCTCCTAGAATAGGGCAGGCCCCCTCCTTCTCACACACAGCCCTTCCCAGGTAAGCTCCACTCTAGAGGTGTTCAGGACCGAGTCACAGTCACTCTRGGATGGAAGGCCAGGTTGGTGGGAGGAATGGTGGCTGGGATATGCTGCCTTTAAGCTGTAGTTTTTTGAAGACCCAGGTCTTGAGTCTGGCCATTTTGCCTATTCCTTAGTAGTCACCAAGCTTTGTCCCTCAGATCTCCATTCTCTTCCCTACAGCTTCACTTACAACCAACCTTCCTATCCTCCCCAAGTCCCTAAGCATATCTGTACACACCTGTATCCCAGCCGGGGATGAAAGTTCTAGTTCACTCTCATAGACTGCCTCACCCCAAGAGTTTCAAAAAGCTGAAGGAAGATGGACTGCCACTTTACAGGTGGAGTAGACTTTGGGACAAAGTGCTCAAGTGACCAAACATACCTGACATCCAAGCAGGTAAGCCTAAGCCATACCTGGATTATATCTGTCACCCAGTGCTTAGGGACCCGAAAGATACAACTGGGCTCTTAGCTTCCAGCAATATTTGTGGAGTCTCCAACATTAGGGTGTGGCAAAGCCCTCTCTGCAATACTGAGGCAAGAGGATAACAAGTTTGAGGCTGGTCTGGGCAATTTAGGAGAGAACTTGTCTCAAGATAAAAAGGGTTAGGGATGTAGCTCAGTGGTATGATGCTTGCCTAGCATTCTTGAGCCCTGGGTTCAATTCCCAGTACTGGGGAGAAAATAAAAAATCTGCACCTGAATGTGATGAATATGGAAACATACCCTGGATGAACAGAGTTTAAAAAGCCGACTTTAAACTGGGCTCGGTGGCACATGCCTGTAATCCCAGCAGTTTGGAGGCTAAGGCAGGAGGATCAAGAGTTCAAACGCAGCCTCAGCAAAAGTGAGGCATTAAGCAACTCAATGAGACCCTGTTTCTAAATAAAATACAAATGTGTGTGTGTGTGTGTATGTGTGTGTGTGTGTGTATGTGTGTGTGTGACGAGGAATGTGGCTCAGTAGTCGTGTGCCCTTGAATTCAATCTCTGGTAACCCCTTCCCGCCAACAAAGTGACAACCTCCTTAGAGATATTTGTCATTTCCCAGAAATCATCAAACCTTGGCACGGTCTGCATCATGAAGTAATTGTATTATAAGCAAAACACTCTTTGAAACTGACTCTCCCTCTGGCTTCTTTGATTGAGTCACATTAGCACAACATTGATGAAATGCAAACACTGGGCAGCTGCTTTGGGCYAATGACCCTGAAAGATGTTGCCAAGAAGCCTGCAAAATACTTACCAGGAAGATGGAGATCTCTAACTTCATCTCACAAAATAAAGCAGGTGGGGTGATGACAAATCAGGTTCGGGTGAAAGGAGCAGATAAGGATTGGGATTGGAGCCCAGACCTGGGGAAATCTCATTTGCCACCCACTCAGGAGTTGTGTTATCCTGTCAATGAAGCAGAAAGGGATGGGACCAAGTGCCGGAAGACATTGAAGAGAAGGGAGAAAAGCTCTTTCCTCTATTCTCAAGTTCTGTAACTTGGGCCCTAGAAATTAAACTGACGAAATACATATTAACAGGGGGAAAAAAAAGGTACATATGGGGCACTTCAAGAAAATGAAATGAAATGGAACCCCAAAGAGTTGGACAGAACTGGAGGCCTATATACCATTTTAACACAGGGAGATAAATTTGTGGAAAAGTGACAAGGCCAAGGAACAGGGTTTTGAACTTCTGGGAGCAGTACATTGTAAGAAGGTAAATATTTGAGAGAAGCTAAAGGAAGATAAGAGTGATGTCACTAAGGTTTGCTGTGTAGACATCCCTAGTAACTAAGGGTCATTCTTCCCTTCTTAGAAGAAGAGAGGGAAAGGAGAATCCTTCACAAAGGGACTTGTATGCCCTGTTTTTAAGCAAATAAGGGACAGGAAGAGTGCTTTTTTTTTTTTTTCTTCTGTATTCTGCTTTTTCACAGCTGCCTTCAGCTCAAAATAATCCTTATGCCAAAGTGGCATATTCTGATCCCCTTCAATTTGGTATAATGCATCAATAGTCTCTTTTCTGCTAGATGGAAACAATTTGAGGGCAGGGACCGGTTAGCTATCTAGCTCAGCATTTGATCTCTAGTACCTAGTGCAGTGAATGACTTATTTGTTTGAAATGCAAATTAATGGATGGTTGTTTTTTAACTTTGAGCCTTAGTTTTCTTATCTTTAAAGTGAAGATAATGGATCTTATCTTAGCATCTGAATAGATCCCCTTCTACTTTGACTTACTCTCCAGCAGAGCTTTTCATAGTGGTCATGAGAATGAAATTGTTCAATTTCTTGTTTTGAAAGAAATAGTACAAGGGTAGAAATGTCTTTTCTTTCTTTTTTTTTAAAGAGAGAGGGGGAGAGAGAGAGAGAGAGAGAGAGAGAGAGAGAGAGAGAGAGAGAGAGAGAGGGAATTTTAATATTTTTTTATTTTGTAGTTATTGGCAGACAGAACATCTTTGTTTTGTGTGTAGTACTGAGGATTGAACCCGGGCCGCATGCATGCCAGGTGAGCGTGCTACCGCTTGAGCCACATCCCCAGCCCCTCTTTTCTTTCTTTTTAATTTTCTCTTCTTAATTAGCATGTAATAATTGTGTTAGCACACAAGGACCAGGCCAGAAGCAAACTTCGCGGATCATCTCARCTTTTTATTCAGGATCAAAGTTTCATGCAGGAACTTTGATGGACCCACTTTCCTGGTAGAAAAGGAGCCACTGGCCAAAGGGGAAGTTTGTGCTTATATAGGTTATACTGAGAGGTAACCTAATTATTGCCAGAGCATGTCTAATGGAGGGTATGGGGTCAGTGGTCAGTTGACCAGATTGAGGGTGTGGCATCAGTATTTATCTCTTTCCCTCTGGGGTTTCATTGTACTATCATTGAGAAAGGATTTATTTTGGGAAGGTTCAATACTTTGGCTTCTTCCCAGAGACTGCCTGTCTAGGCTTGGATGGATATTTCCTCCCCAGGGCTTGTCTTG